CTCAAAGCCTCTCTTTTCCTATTAAAAAAATCCTCCCACCAAAACTATCAACAAACCTGAACACTCTTTCATCTCTGCCTCTCCGGCCTCCATGCCAGCCTCAGATCTTTATCAGGAGAGGCATGTTGAGTTACCTGTATTCTGAAAAACAAAAGAGGGTCAGGGGCTGCCCTGGTTTATAAGGGGTATGTAATAAAACATTTAATAATTTAACTTACTAATATTCTTTCATTCAGTAAATACATTTTTAGGGACTATAATTTGCATGACACTTTGCCAAATGCTGTAGAAAAATAAAAGACAAAACTGTAAGGAACGGCACCAAGAAACGGAGGAGAGCTTAAACAAGCTTTATTTGGGAACACTCCCGGGCGAGGTTCACTGATCTGAGACAAAGGGGCCAGAGAAGGCGCGCCCGGGCGAGGGTTTGGGCAGAATTCATAGGGGAAGAAGGGAAAGGGGTGTGGTGAATCCGGGAGGGCGCAGGTTACTCCTTATTTGGTGGTCTCTTCGGGTATCGTGGCAATATCCGGTGCCGGTTGCACCAGTCTTGGGACCGTTAGTGTTAGTCCCGCCCCTCGAAAGGCGGGAAGGCTGGGCCGGGTGGAAAAGTCCCCAGGTCAGTTCCTGGAACTGGGTGGTCCGGAAAGTCTCCTGGTCAGTTTCTGGAACTGGGTGGTCCGGAAAGTTTCGGTCTGATGCAACCTGCGAGTCTGATTGCGTTCCCCTGCCTCGGGCCAGTTGGCCTTACAAAAACTATCTCAGCCCTTAAGAATTGTATAACCCATACAATCCCATTTTAACCAGTGTCCAATCTTCCAGCACCCCAGCTGCCCCCAAGTTACTGAAACATGTAAACAACACTTAAAATAAGGAGACTAGCCCAAACCAGAGGTCCCAGAGATGCCATATGATGGGTTGATTTGCTGATCAAAATAAATCACTTCTCTTACTATTGACTGGCAAAGTCTACAAATCAAAACCAAAAAACCCATGCCCTACTGCTGCTAAAGGCAAGAACCCTAAGAGAAATGGCAGGAAATAGCAAGAAAATGAAAATGAAAACCAGACGAAAGAGGGAATTCATGACGGTCCAATGGTTAGGACTCGGCAATTTCACTGCCATGGCAGGGGTTCAATCTCTGGTCGGGGAACTAAGATCCCACAAGCCACACAATATGGCAAAAAAATAAAATAAAATAAAAATGCAACAAAACAGCAGAAGGAGAGGTAGATATTAGAGGCAGCTAGAGAGGTAGATGCCTTTGCTATTAAGCAGTTAGGAGAGGACGGCAGAAATGGCCTTGAAGAAAGCAAAGAATCATGACGGAAGGAAGTTCAGTATCAGGGGCCAGACCTGCATCCAAGGAGACACAGCCCAGGTGCAAGCACATATGTCTACACAGTGTGAGCAGTGGGACAGTGTCACACCGACCAGCGTTGGCCCAGCATGGTATACCATCATGCCAGAAAGCTCGCCCAGTGCTGCCAGATCTTCTGGTTGTTTTAGGAGAAGCCAACAAATCTGATTTTATGTGAAATATTTCCATTTTTAAATATTGGCCTGACTTTATAAAATACTGCACAGAATCTGATACCATATACGTAATGTTTCAAAACAAGAAAATGCTAAACACAGTCTTTGAATAAATACATAGTGAAACATGGGCCTGAGCGATAAACTTCAAATTCTGGGCAGTGGTGATCCCTTGAGAGGGTAGGCAGGGGAGAGGCACATAAAGAGCTTCTATGGCATCTGTAATGTTTTATTGCTTTAATAAAAATCTGTAATAAATATAGCAAAATGATAAGATTTGTTAGACTAGATGATAGGTCCACGAGTTTCTATTACATTAGTGACCCTACTGTTCTGTACGCTTGAAATATTTCACAATTATAAGACAATAATACTGCACAGGCCAAACATTTTTAGTCCACATCAGACCAGTGGAGCAGAATTTTGCAGACTCTGCATAGCATGATTCAAAAGGCATAGAGCTCACACTCAGGTTAGACCAGGGTGAGCAGACTTTGGTCACCCCTCCCCCCAAGAGTAAAACATAGGTGGTCCAGGTGGTTTTCAACCTGCTTGGACATCAGAGTCACCTGTCCAGCTTGTTAAAACTTCCCATGCCTGGGTGTCACCTAGATTCTACTAAATAATAAGTTGCATCTAGAAACTGGGCAGCGTGGGGATTCTAATGTGCAACCAGAGTTGAAAATAACTGTGATAGTTCTGAGAAGATTACTGTGACACAGGAAAGTCACAACTAGAAAAGCACCTGAGTCGGGGGGGGGGCTCCCAGATAGGTGACAGCTTTAAAAATCTCAGTGGTCACTGGTGGCTTTCCTGGAATTAGACATAACAAATGACAATGAAAGCAAAATACTCATTAAAAAGGACTAAGTCTTTTTGTAATAAGAAAATTGAAATAAGAACTATTGAAAGAGTAACTATTTAAAAAAATATTTTCATTGAAATGGTTAGAATAAATATTATTCAGTACATTATTTTAAAGAAACAAACTGTGTACCTACTGTGTGCAAGCTTTCTGCATAGAGTTGTGGAATGATGGAAAGATGGATGAGCCCCATCCCTTACTCTCAAAGAAACAACATCTAATGGGGCAGACAGACATGTCAACAAATAATTTGTCGTTTTGGGAGACGGAGACTGGTCATGTGAGTATGACTGTAGTTTTGACTCAAAGACTCCAAAACTAGAGCATTCAAGTTATTGGGTCACAGGGTCTTATTTTAACCATTCTCTGATGGCCTGGGTTTGGTGGAGAGACCCCAGAAGCTTGGAGAGAAGAGCAGAATGAAAAGGAATCGTCTCAAAATGACTTTGACTTCAGACAGTGTTAAATATATGAAGGGTTCAAAAATGATGCCTTGACATGGAAACAACCTAAATGTCCATTGACAGACGAATGATAAAGAAGATGTGGAACATATATAAAATGGAATACTACTCAGCCATAAAAAAGAATGAAATAATGCCATTTGCAGCAACATGGATGGACATAGAAATTATCATACTAAGTGAAGTAAGTCAGACAGAGAAAGACAAATACTATATGATATTTAGTACTTACATATCCTTATATGTAGAATCTAAAATGTGACACAAATGAACTTATCCAGAAAACAGAAACAGACTCACAGACATAGAGAACAGACTTGTGGTTGCCAAGGTCGGGGTGGGTGGGGGGTGGGGGCGGGGGAGGGATGGTTGGGAGTTTGGGTTTAGCAGATGCAAACAATTATATACAGGATGGATAAACAACAAGGTCCTACTGTATAGCACAGGGAACTATACTCAATATCTTGTAGTAAACCATAATGGAAAAGAATACAAAAAAGAATATATATATATATATATATATATAACGGAATCACTTTGTTGTACACCAGAAACTAACACAACATTGTAAATCACTATACAGTAAGTCCCCTACATATGAACCTTTAAGTTGAAAACTTTCAAAGATGCAAACATTCATTCTATCAACGTCAGGTGTGAGTGAAATTGCAGCTTGCCCTCCGTCTCCTATTGCTGACGATCTTTCAGCTCTACCACCTCCCACCTCCTCTCCCTCCACCAGTCAGTAACTCTTCATGCCTGTTCACTTGATGCCAGCCCCTGTATGCCAGCTGTTGTACTGTATTACTGTACTCTTCAAGGTAGTGTACTGTAAGATTAAAAATGTTCTTTATTGTTTGTGTTTGTTTTTTATGTATTACTTGTGTGAAAAGTATTATAAACCTATTACAGTACAGTACTATATAGCTGATTGTGTTAGTTGGGTACCCAGGCTAACTTTGTTGGACTTATGAACAAATTGGACTTACAAACGCACTCTCGAATGGAACTTGTTCGTATGTAGGGGACTTACTATACTTCAATAACATAAATTTTTTAAAAATGATGTCTCGAAAGACTATTCTTACTATGTTAATCAGGTTAATCCACAAAAACTTTTTTCTTTTTTAAAAAAAATACTTTTATTTATTTATTTATTTATTTGGCTGCACCTGGTCTTAGTTGCGGCATGTGGGATCTTTTAGTTATGGCATACAGGATCTAGTTCCCTGACCAGGGATTGAACTCAGACCCCCTCCATTGGGAGCGTAGAGTCTTAACCATTGGACCACCAGGGAAGTCCCACAAAAGCTTTGTTCTTGATACAAAGAAATTTTTTTTCCTTTGCTATAAAGAAGACTTTGGTATGACTTTCTCTTTCAGAACCCCACATGTGAATGAATCACTGAGTGAATGAATAGAATTCAATCCTCATAACAGAGATAACATTGAATCATAATATACTCCTTTAGGATAATTTTCAGGAATGTCTATGATTCAAAGCATTTCCTTTTACAACAATAACAATAGCTATAGTTTATGGATACACTGCACTAAGCATTTTTAGATACATTCTCCTGACTGATCTTCACCTACAACCTGCTGAGGTAGATCACATTATGTGCATTTTTATAGATGGAGAAATTGAAGGTCATGATGGTTAAATAACAAACCGAACCCTAATCTCAGTTTATCTGCAGCAGAACCAGGATTCAAATATGCTCTGACTCCAAAGGCTAAAACTTAAACTCAGCACTATATTCCTACATGACAAGGCATATTCGCTATTATTACATTAAAACTTTTAAACAAAATTTTATTAATTAAATTAAATTTCAATTTTATTTTAATTAAAAATGCCTACGGAGGTACTATGCAGTTTGAGACCATTTAAAGCCAGAAGGTAAGGCTGTAGATAGCCAGGAGACAATCACTAAGAGTGGAGTGTTCTTTCTTCAAGCATCAATTTTTGGTAATTTTGAGTTAAGAGACAAATATTCCATATGTGCCTGTATTCCTCCATCCAAATATTATAAATATTAATTCCAAAACTACCTTTATGCACCTGCAACAATACTCTGTGAACGATGGCTGTTGTTAATCTGTGTTTTAAAAATGCTGAAGTGACCGTTAATTTGAATAATCAATATAAATAATTTATTAGTTTGGTCTCCAAATCAAGTAGAAGCTACATGACAGTATTTCACAGCTCAGTGAAGCAGAGAGTTCAGTCAAGTAGTCTTCAAATCTGTTGTTCCTTAAACACAAAGAAGAGTGGTGTATATATAAGCAATTCAAGAGACTAGAAAAGGCCAGGTGATGTTACAGAATTTTGACACATATTTCAATAGATAATCCAATAATGTTTTCATTTTCATGAGTTTAACTCTTTAAAATTCCACTAAAACATAAAAGAAAGTTTTGAAAAAAGAGAAAAAAAATCACAGTGTTTTTGGTGTTATTTTCAAGTCATTTAATGCACACATTATCTGAATATTGAGTATTATAGCCGGCTTACCACTTTGTGTTCCCGTGACTGGGCTGTCAAAGGAAGCCGATCATTGCCTTAACCAGCTGTGTGCATAATGAAAGGCCATTATTTTTTCCCTTCTCATGAAAATGCATGGCCCATTTTGTATTGCCCAGATACTGCCACAGATGGATTTAATTCAGCAAATGAGGTACTCGCTATACTAAAAGAAAGAGCTTATGGAGGTAATATCATGTCAAGAAAATATTATTTTATTGGGACAAACATTTTTTTCAAAGATAGCAAGAATGTTTATTGTGAGGTGGAAAACAGTAGCACAGTAGAAGCCCAAAGAGTTCATGTATCTATTGACAGGTTTTTTCTTTCAGATAAGCAATTAATCATGGGAATAGTGGCTGATGACAAATTTAGATTATGAAAGTGCTTCATTAAAATTTTTTTTCCTTTTGAATACATAAGTAGATGTACAAGTTATAAAAATTGAAAGTAGGAAGGGTATAAAGTGAAAACTGTATCTCCCTCCTGCCTTTATCTTTCACCCATGTGGTTCTCTTTCCTAGAAGCAACTACTATTACCTTGTTCTTGCATCCTTCAAGAGATATCCCATGCCTATGCAACCATATTTATATGTTGTTTTCTATACTAATAATAACATACATACTGATCCATAGTCCCATTTTTTTACTTTAGCAAATGTCTTGGAAAAGGTGTCATGGAGTCCTAATTTTTTTTTTTTTTTTAACCTAGCTCTATGCTGTCCATGTTTCTTTTTATACTGGGGTAAAATTTGCACTTAGTAAAATGCTAAGATTCATTTTCATACATTTGGAGAATTGAATACAAGGGTGTATCCATCTCTCAAAGCAAGATTTAGAATATTTCATAATAATTCCTGAGAGCTAATTAATATTCCACTGCATGGATGTGCCACGACTGATTTAACCAAACCTCTACTTTTGCTCTCTTTTGCTGTTATAAATAAGTTTGCTGTGAATAACATGTATATGTATGATATTGCATGTGTCTAAGTACACCTATGGGATATTTCCTAGAATTAGGATTGCTACATCAAAGGGTATGTGCAGTTTTAACTCGGAAGGATATTGACAAATTACATACCATAGGGGTTGTACACTCTGACTGACAATTTATGAAAGTTTTTTTTGCAGTATACTGTGGTTATTAAACTTCTTGATCTTTGCCCACTGGTAGGTGGATAAAGGGTGATTGTAGCTTTAATTTTGTTTCTCTCATTCGGAGGATGCTGAGCATCTTTTCGTGTGTTTAAGAAGCATTAAATAGTTTCATTCCAAGGCTTCCCTGGTGGCGCAGTGGTTGAGAGTCCGCCTGCTGATGCAGGGGACACGGGTTCGTGCCCCGGTCCGGGAGGATCCCACATGCCGCGGAGCGGCTGGGCCCGTGAGCCATGGCCGCTGAGCCTGCGCGTCCGGAGCCTGTGCTCCGCAACGGGAGAGGTCACAACAGTGAGAGGCCCGCGTACCGCAAAAAAAGAAAAAAAAAAATAGCTTCATTCCAAAAGAAAATCTGAGCCAAAGCAGAGGTGCTGTGAAGACTGCCATGTATTTGGAGTGATGAACAGAAACACAGAAGACTTGACATTTATTCTAACCTTTCAAGAGAAGTTGGACAAAGTAATGTGTTTCTGAGGACAATAGAAATCTAAGGAAACTTGATATTTCAAGTATCACCTGAAAAGAAGATGCCAAACTCTTGAATGGAAAAGTCCAAGAAACCAAAGATCTAAGAAAGTATGCCTGCCTGAATCACAAATGAAGACAATGTTAATTTGTTTCATCAACATAAATGGTATTGTCCATGCCGAATTAATCTACAAGGTCAAACGGTCAGGCAAGCTTATTATGCAGAAATTCTAAAACATCTGTGGTATTGTACACTGCACAAATCACTGCTTGATCATCCACTTTATTTACTACACTTTGCTCTGGACAACCTTTGACTAGTCTTTAAAATCAGTGCCATTCTAAAAGGGAAAAAGCAACCCAAAAAGGAAAGAAAACTTGCCATTGAGGATATTCAAAAGACAGTGACTTCAGTTCTAATGGTAATTCCAACAGAAAACATTCAAAATACTTGGGGCAATACTTGAAATCACTACATAGCTCCCAATGTGACTTATTTGGAGGAAACAATACTCTCTTAGATTTAGAAGTTCTTATTTTAAGTTGGTTCCATTGCTGGATAATTATATTATTTATGCCATGTTAATCTAACAATCAGGGACACTTAAAATCCTTCAACTACCCTTTCCCTCTCCAATAAAGTACTTCATGGAACAATAGAATTATAGAAAAAAAACCATTATTGTTTAATTTATTAGACTCCCACTTATCTGCTGCAAAGTATTATTAAAGTTATGCCTCTTACCTGGGCCTCAGTTTTCTTTTCTGTTAAATTCAGATAACAAATTATAGTGCCTAATTAACTAATAAAGTCTCTGTCATACAGTAGTCTCTCAAAAAATCCTGGTTCTCGGGCTTCCCTGGTGGCGCACTGGTTGAGAGTCCGCCTGCCGATGCAGGGGATGTGGGTTCGTGCCCCAGTCCGGGAAGATCCCACATGCCGTGGAGTGGCTAGGCCCGTGAGCCATGGCCGCTGAGCCTGCGCGTCCGGAGCCTGTGCTCTGCAACGGGAAAGGCCACAACAGTGAGAGGCCCGCGTACCGCAAAAAAAAAAAAAAAAAAAATTCTGGTTCTCTTCCCCATATCTGTATCTGATTAGGACTTTGTCGATGGACCCAAAAGTAGCAATTAAAAATGAAACTCTTGAGATTTCAAAGGACTGAGTATGAAAGATTTAGGTTTCAAATTAGGAAGAATTTTCTTTTACTGACACCTGTGATAAAAAAAAAACCTTCAGTGGAACACTTAAGGAAAAAATGTACAAAAATATATTGTCTGAGTTCATTTGCGAAGAATAGAATCCACTCTAGCTAGTTTACAGGATATTAAAAGACTTTCAGATTTTGGAGGAGGGATAAAGGGACTGAGTCTGGATTGAACTTTCAGGAAAGATTGCCACAGCTACATTTCACTGTTGAGGCACTATACTGGGTTGAATACTATCCCCCCAAAAGTCATATTTACCTGAAACCTGTAAATGTGACCTTATTTGGAAATAGGATCTTGCAGATGTAATCAAGTTAAGATGAGGTTGTACTCGATTAAGGTAGGCCTTAATCCAATGTCTAGTGTCCTTAAAAGGACACTGACAGAAGAGACACTGACACATGAAAAAAGGACATTTGAAGCTGGAGGCAGAGATTGGAGTGATGCCTCTATAAACCAAGGAATGCCAAGGATTGCCAGCAACCCCCAGAAACTAGAAAAGGCAGGGAAGGATTGGCCCTAGAGCCTTCAGATAGAGCATGGCTCTACTGATAACCTGATTTTGAACTTCTAGCCTGCAGAATTGTGAAAGAATACATTTATGTTGTCTTAAGCTTCCCCAGTTTGTGGAACTTTGTTAGGGAAACCCTGGCAAACTAACATAGGCACCAAGGGAGCTGCTGAATCTTTCATAATCAGGGATCCTCCAGTTCCAGAACCTTAATAGTTAATAAGACTTTAAGATCAGGAAACTACTACAATCAGGAAACCAACAGGATCAGGCAACCTGCCATGGTCAAGGAATGTCACTACTCCTGGTTCCAGCATTGTGGCACACCTCCTACAAACAGTCCACACCTTGTCTTAAGGCATACTGCAGCGTTCTTTGAACAATAGGACTTTAGCTGATACTCCCACAGAAAAAGCAAACACTTCCATCATCATTTTTCCCAGCAGTGGAGGAAGAAAATGCAGCAGAAGCACAGCCTATGCCTTACAGTGGCAAAAGCATCTGATTGGTCAGTCCTAAATCACATCCAGAACCCTAGCTGCAAGGGAGGCTAGGAAGTATAGTTATTCGTTTTCCAGACAACACAGTACAGGAAGATAAAAGAGATGTTAAGCACCAATCCACCATATTTACTACAGATAGTTCATGCAATTATTCCTTTAATTCAGAAATTACCAGCATTAAATGTATTAAATCACTTAATTTCCTGGATCTCAGTTATCTGTATAAAACTAAGATTGAAGGTGATCTCCAAGTATACCCTTGATTTAAAAATTCTAAATTTTTAAACCATATATAAATCTGTATATAAAAACATACTTCCCACATGTTTATTTACATAGTTTTCTAGACTTTCTTGAGAAAAGATACTGGATAGAAATTCTACAGCACCTACATGCTAACACTATGTAAACTTTTTTTTCTTTTTTTAATTTTCTTTTTTTTAAATTTTTATTGGAGTATAGGTGAGTTACAATGTCGTGTATGTAAACGTTTAATTGTCTTCAAAGAGGTGCAGAGAGTAGATTTACTCTTTGGAGGGGGAGAATTTGTATAGGAATGTGTGTGTGTGCGCGCCCACGTGTATGCATTGTGCATGTAAATGCAAGTCAATTAAAATTTCTCATGAATAAAATTTCTCATGACTAGGTAAAAGCAAACTGGCAGAAATTCAATACATATGGTAAATATAGACAATGAAGTAGACTCTGCTTCACGTTTTTGTCTGGTTTTGAATTCTTATATTTGCTTCCCACATTTCTTTTTTCTAAAATGAATCAGGCTCATTAAATTTAGCATGACTAAGGTTTTCCAGATATAAAAAAGAATAGCAAGTTGTGGATGGGCTTTACCATGTTGAATAACTACTATAAAAGTAGAATTTTATTAACTTTTGTAAGTAATTACATATGAATTGGTTGATTACTTATAATTTTATCACTAAAAATCTTTTATTTTATTTATTTATTACTTTTTCTTTTGGCTGTGTTGGGTCTTCATTGTAGCACACGGGCTTCTCTGTAGTTGTGGTGTGTGGGTTTTCTCTCTCTAGTTGTGGTGCGTGGGCTCAGTAGCTGCGGTGTATGGACTTAGTTGCCCCATGTCATGTGGGATCTTAGTTCCCCGACCAGGGATCAAACCCACATCTCCTGCATTGGAAGGTGGTTTTTTTACCAATTGACCACCAGGAAAGTCTCCATTAAAAATCTTTACATATTATTCATACCCTTAACAGTCAGTATATTATCTTTTTATAACATAAGGGCTAGTGTTCACTATCATAGATTTGCAAAAATGGCCACAAATTATTGCCCCCCTGTTATCTAAACTGCTACATGATGTGACTTTTCAGCTCACTTTATTAACAGGTGGAGTCTCTTTTTTACCTCTAGTATCGAAGCTGGTCTTGTAACTTGCTTTGGCCAATGGAATGCTACAGAAAAAATGTGTACCAATTTCACCAGGGCCTCGAGAGTCCTTGCACACTTCTACTAGCTCTGTTGGACACTTGCTGAGTGACTTTGTGAACAAACTTAGGCTAGCCTACTAGAGGATGAGAAACAACATGGAAGACTGCCAAGACACCCGAGTCAATAGCCAGCCACCCCTAGTCAATCTGGCAGCTGATCACAGTCATATGAGTTACCTCAGCTGAGGCCAGAAAAGCCACCCTGCTAAGCCCAGCCCACATTGCTGATCCACAGAATCATGAACTAAATAAATGGTTATTGTTTTAAAAACTAAGTTTTGGGGTATTTGTTATGCAGCAAAGTTAAATACTGTTCTCAGTTAACCTTGTTTAAATTTTCTGAGTGCCTCAAATATCTGGATTACTTCCTTCCAAGAATAGCAAGTACTGGGGAAGTTTCCAAAATGGCAGAGTAGAAAGACCCTGAGCTCACCTCCTCTCACAGGCATACCAAAATTATATCTATTTACAGAAAAACTATTGATGAAAAAGACCAGAACCTACCAGAAAAGGTCTTCTACAATTAAATATATAAAGAAGGAACCACAACAAGACAGGTAGGAGGGGTGGACTCATGGTATAGTAAAGACCCACACCCTGAGATGAGAAACCCACAAAGAGGAGAATAATAACAATTGCAGAGTTTCTTCCCAAGGAGTGAGGGGTTTGAACCCCACATTGGGCTCCCAGCCCAGTGCTCCTGTGCCAGAAAGACTGGCCCTCAGAATGTATGGATTTGAAGGCCAGCAGGACTTACTTTTGGGAGACCCAGAGAGCTGGGAGAAATAGAAACTCCACTCTTAAAGAGTGCACACAAAATCTCACACACTCCGGGATCCAAGACAGAAGCAGTAGTTTAAAAGGAGCCTGGGTCAAGCCCACCTGCTGATCTTGGAGAGTCTCCTGGAGAGGCAGGAGGCAACTGGAGCTCACCCTGGAGACACAGATACTGGTGCCAGGCATTTTGGGGAGCTCGTTCTACCATGTGGACACTGGTGCTGGCAAAATCTGAGTTCAGCATCACAAATCAGCTTTACAGGAAATGTTAAAGGAATTTCCCTAAGCAAAAAAAGAAAAGGCCACAACTATAAACATGAAAATTATGGCAGGAAAGAGCTCATTGGTAAAGGCAAATATACAGTAAAAGTAGGAAATCAACCATATCCAAAGCTAGTAGGAATGTTAAAAGACAAAAGTAGTAAAATCATCTATATACATAATAAGCATTTAAGGGATACCCAAAACAAATAGATGTTAAATATGATGTCAAAAACAGTAATCATGAGGGAAGGGGAGTAAAAATGCAAAGTTGTTCAAATGCATTTGAAATTAAGAGATCTGCAACTTAAAATCATGCACACGCACACACACACATGGCTATGTATAAACCTCGTGGTAAACCACAAACCAAAAATCTATACACACACAAAAAAGGCAAAGGACTCAAAAATGCAAACATAAAACCAGATAATCATCAATTCACAAGGAAAGAGAACAAAAAAAAATGAAAGGAACAAAAAAGAACTACAAAAACGACCCAAAAACAATTAAAGTGACAATAAGTACATACCTATCAATAATTATTTTAAATGTCAATGAACTAAATGCTCCAATCGAAAGATTTAGAGTGGCTAAATGGATCCAAAAAAGATTCATAAATATGCTACCTACAAGTGATTCACATCAGATCTAAAGTCACACACAGACTGAAAGTGAGGGGATAGAAAAAAGAATTCCATGCAAATGGAACTCAGAAAAAACCAGGGTAACAATACTTATATCAGAAAAAATTGACTTTAAATTAAAGACTGCTACAAGAGACAAAGATGAACATTACATGATGATCAAGGGATCAGTCCAAGAAGAAGGTATAACAATTGTAAATGTATAGGCACCCAACATTGGACCATCTAAATACATAAAGCAAATATTAACAGACATAAAGAGAGAAATTGACAGTAACACAATAAAAGTAAAGGACTTCAACACCCCACTTAATCAATGGACAGATCACCCATACAGAAAATCAATAAGGAAACATTGGTCTTAAATCACACACTAGACATGATGGATTTAATAGGTATGAAGATTCCATCCAAAAGCAGCGTTCTTCAGGATAGATAACTTGCTAGGCCACAAAACAAGCCTCGGTGAATTTAAGAGAACTGAAATCATATCAAGCATCTTTTCTGACCACAGTGGTATAAGACTAGAAATCAACTATAAGGAAAAGAACTGCAAAAAACACAAACATGTGAAGG